CCTTTCCTTTTTTTTTACTTTTTAAAATTGCTGTTTTTATTATTCTAGATCTTGAAGATATAGTAGGTGTAGCAATACCAGAGAGGGCCCAATTTAAGGGAGAGATGGCAGAGGTGGCTGACCAATGGAATAGAACTGAGAAAGGGCGAGAAGAGAAGACACGCAGCTCTGAGATAGGGAAGCAGCAGGAACAAAGACCACAGGAAAGCTGGGGAAAGAAGCAGAAAATTTGAAGAGCAGAGTTTCAATTGGAGACAGACCAAAGGCAAATGATACAGAAAACATAGAAATAAGGAAGACATCATTTTGAACTTCTAAATAATGCCCTGATATCCTTCACAGAATTAAGTATCCGAGAGCCCAGTTACTCCTTTGTAGAACTGACCACTCCTCCGGGGAACATCACAGGGCACCTTAGTGAACCAAAGAGCAAGTGGCTCCCCTGAGATCATCAGCTCTCCAGCTTAGTTAGTCACCTGTCCTCCTAACTAGTAGATAAGTCACCTGATGATAAGATGCCCTTTCATTTTGAGGTAAAATTGATGATTTGATATTTTTAAACATATAGATAATATAAAATCAGAGAATACAATGAAAGACGACAACATCATTTGAGCTTTATTTTTTTCTCTCCAATTTGCAATTAAAGGAACTGCTTTGTTGCGACGTTTTTAACTACAGGAAACTCTTGAATACAGTGATTCATGTTTTGCAGTCACACTATATGTAAAACTTGCCTTCGTGAAAACCCAAGAGAAATAAAACCAAGCCTTTAATGTGAATGTTGTATTTAACTGCTCCTTACTGAATCAGGCAGGAATCAAGAAAATAATCACCTTTAACAATGATAAGCAGTAAATAAATGTTAAATGATTGATGTAATTTTACATGCTTTGCAGCTCTGTTTAGAACTTTCTGTGTTGATGGAAATTTTCCTCTGCTACTCCCAGTATGGGNCATGCTTTGCAGCTCTGTTTAGAACTTTCTGTGTTGAAGGAAATTTTCCTCTGCTACTTCCAGTATGGCAGCCACTAGCTGCATACAGCTACTGAGCACTTAAAATCTGATGAGTATAACTAAGGAAAGGATTTTAAAATTTTGTTTAATGCTAATTAATTTGTATGTAAATAGCCACACTATTTTTCTACCTTAGTCATTACATGCATTATACTTATTCATTCCTTTTCCTTCCACTCTCCCCCATAAAACTCTGAGGTCTGTAAGGACATCTAATGCCTTGTACATTTTCTGACACAGAGCAGTTTCTCTCTTCTCTCTCTCCCCCTCTTCTTCTCTCTCTCCCTCCCACCCTAAGTTTATACATATTTACTTAAACACTGATGGGAATAGTCCACCCATCCCTGCCTTCTTCTTTTCCATTCTTATTAACTGAATGCAAGCTGCCATTATAGGTTCTGTGAGGAACTCACAACAGGCATCGTCATGATTCTGAATTCATGTCTTGATGTGCTACTCCTGGTGTGCATTAGATTGAGAGCCACAAACCTTGCACGCTGGATGAGTGTCTGTCTGACACCACAGCTGCATTAAAAACCTTGCACGCTGGATGAGTGCCTATCTGACACCACAGCTGCATTAAAAACCTTGCACGCTGGATGAGTGCCTGTCTGACACCACAGCTGCATTAAAACTTTTGTTCCATGCTTTTACCCTTACCAATTTTAAATGCAAAAAGGCTATAGAAGTTTTTCTTGGTCTATAATAAATTCAAGAATTCTCCTTAAGTTTCAACAGTGCCAATTATGTTAAAATAATAAATTAAATATAAGTTCTAAGCCCTTATCCTATTGAATGTGGACTCTTAATACACTATTAAAATAACTTCACACTGGCGATGTACTGAGTGGCAGTCTGACAGCTTGAAATTCTGATGGGGCATGCACATCTCTTGTACAACAGGTTTAAAAACTCTGTTGTGCATATTTACAAGCTTGGACATGCTGAAATTACAGCAGGGATCTGAAATTTAATTGTAAGTGAGGAACATAAATCCTTGCTTTCCATAGAATTTAATTAAACACTTCCACTTGACTTTATATATCTGCCTACCTGTCAAGGTCTGAGTTTATGTGAACCTGGGAGTAAAATCTAAGATGAGTTTAAATGATCAGGTAGTGTCAGTATACATTGGGGGAAAAATGTGAACTACATTAGAACAGAAAATGCTTGATATTTTATAATGAACATTTTTTAAAAAGAGAATTTAATGAAATTTTATCATCTTTCATCTCCACTAAAATTGGTACCAACAGTGAAATAAACAGGTATCTTATATATATATATGCATGAATATCTGCTTATGTAACAAAATAAAAGCACAGTGATAGAGGAAAAAAGCAAGAATTTAAAAGATAATTAAATTAAAATGGAATCACTTTGAATCCAAAGAGAAGGATTTTGTTTCTGTGGGACCTCATCTCTGAATGTTCTGTTTCTCCTTGAAAAATGCAGCCTTAAGACTTTCTATGTCATAATGCAAAAGAAAAAAAAAGACTGCTGTGTGTCTGAGACTGTTTTTATGGGGTTTAGTTGACATATTTTATAGCGTGGATTATCCAACCATTGAGGGAATTAATTTTTGCCTCCCACAGTGCCCAGTACTTATTAAATTGTCAGTAAATATTGGCTGAATAAATAACTTTGATGAATTCTATGTTATAGCTACTGATAGCACCTAAAATAATCCTCTCCCTCTATTTTCTTCACTACATGGTTTACCGGTCAAACGTTTAGATTATGTCGTCTTTGATGATGAGTAGGAAGAAAAATGACCGGGCCCCTTAGCTGCCAAAAAAACAATATCTTACTTGGATTAAATTATTAATGAGTAGCATCATATGAGCTCCCAAATTCTTTGATAATGTTACAACAGAGAAGGGATTAATGATGAATATTAATTATAGTTTCCTAAGGAGAATGAATACTTGGTTTTGTAACTTTGAGAAGAAAGTGTGCCCCCCCAGATTTATAAGAGCAATAGGGAAGGCTCCTGGGAAACTTCCATGATGCTGTGTGCAAATGTGTGCCCTCAAACTTGTTTGGTAGGATTGGTAGTGTGCCGGTGCCCCATTTCTTTAGACAGCTCCACGGTGTGCATTAAATACACTAGTTGGTAAAGCCGCCTTGAGCCTTTTGTTTTGTTTTGCTTTTTTGTTCACCCTCACCTAACGATATTTTTTTCATTCATTTTTAGAGAGAATGAAAGGGAGGGAGGGGGAGAGAGAGAGGGAGAAAGAGAGAGAAAGATGTGAGACACATCCATTGGTTGCCTCCCACGAACCCTGATTGAAGTTGGAGATCAGGGATTTGACCTACAACCCAGGTATGTGACCTTGATTGGGAATGGAACCAGAGACCTTTCATTGGGAGGGCCAACGCTCTAAGTACTGAGCCACACTGGCCAGGGCTTTGAGCTTTTTCTTAAGTAGAGAATACAAAGTCTGGCAAAGGACTACTTACTATTTTCTGAGCTTTACACAAGAAAAGAGAATTATATTTCCCCCGGAGAAGATTATATTTAACACCAAATTAGTTTGGGATATTTTTAATTATGGAAAAGCTACTTGAGCCAGTTAAATGGAATATTCAAAAATATTTTTCAACAGGTGCAGTTTTGGTATCAGTTGTCTCAGCATTCACATCTCTCAGTTTTTACAAGAACATCGCTGGATGGAAATTTGCAAAAGCAAGGTGATCTAATTGGAATCTCCAAATCTCAGTGGAGACAAGCAAAAATCAATCTTTATGCAAAGGCTGGAGAATCTAGTTTGCCTTTTCAGGTAAGCACATAAGAAATCAGTAAAACTCAGTAGAAGATACCTATTTAATGCTAATCTTCTCAGACAACAATTAACACATACATCCTTTTGACATCAATAAAGCAAGCCAATCAGGGATGAGTAGAGAGGTTATCTTAACTAAGTACTCAAGAATTATCTAGAAGCATAGCAAAAGTGGAGTTAAGAATTTAATAGGATGGCACAGATTAGAGTAATTTATTAGGAAATTGTTGTTTTAAGTGTGGATGGTAGATTATTTGAGAGAGTGAAAAATACCTTACTTGGGCTGCACTCACGTTTTAATTCTATTGCCTTATTTTCTGCAGCCCATGATATTGAGGATTTTTATCAAACTTTGATGTCATTTTCTTGGTTAGTAATAAAATAAGGCAACTGTAGCTTATCAAATGAGTGCCCCAACTTCCACCTCCTGAACATGGCTCCCTTCTGGATGATGTTTGCAATGAGTTATTTTTGAAACTAGATTTAGAAACTAGGTAGACTACAGTGGAGAATGGAGTGCCTTTGGAGTCTGGTGGCCTGAGTGCTGACATCTGCTCAGCTCATTGTTTGCTAAGTGACTATGCATGTTACATCTTTGAGCTTCAAATTTCCCAGTCTGTGAAACCACAGTGGTGGTCAAAACAATACTTTAGGTGACTCTGGGTATTAAAGAGAAAGTTGCTACAATGGTGGCTGTGAAATGGGCTCTGGTTCAAATCCAGGTGTAAGATCATAAGGATGTTGCTTAATCCCTCTGCTTTTCTTCCTCTGTAAATGTGTGTGTGTGTGTGAAGGTCATTGTTAGGGTGTTAGGGGTCCCTGATAAATAACATACCTCATCTGTTCCTCATTTTTGAACCAATTGAGATAAATATAGATAAAGATAGAGAGCAGAATATTTTAGAGAAGATGACTTTAGGATCTGCAGCCATATGTTTAAAATAATCACCTCAGAATGAACAGATTCACCCAGAGAACAACCGACTCTGCTAGGGAAATACAGGACTCACACTTTGGGGGGCACCTTTTTGCCATTAACCAGGGATAATTTCAGAGTGCATGCCTCCTGCAGACAGTTTGGCTCACAGAAGGGGGCATGAATGAGAGACAAAGAGGATGAGCTGAGAACACCCAGCTGATTCTTTTAACATCACCAATCATTTAAATCTTCCTCCTCCCAGGGGAAAAGTAAAGGGTGGGTGACAGCAGTGCCACTTCAGGGAAGTCCCTGCCCGTGGGAGCAGGAGGGATAGGAAACAGCACAGACTCCAGTTAGTATTATCTCCATTACCGTTCTGTGAGGATTAAGTGACTTACACATGTCACGCACAAGGGAGAAATCTCGCATCGAGTAAACAGACCAAGTTAGCTATTATTGTTGCTGTGGTTATTACCTGGACAATGTCTGGAAATACAGACACTCAATAAATGTTAGTGCTCTTTATTTTGAGAAAGACTCTCCTGTTGGCTAGAACTCTAGGCTCAATGGTTAGAGGCTTCTTCACTCTATGAAAGTCTTCAAACTCCCTTGATTCTCAATGAATATATATGTGTGTGTGTGTGTGTGTGTGTGTGTATATACACACATACATGATTCCACTCCCATATTTAATGGATGAAAACACCATGAATTATTTAACTCTAAATTGGAAAACATTTTATAAAGGCAGGTCATGGAATCATTTTCATGTCCATGTCCATTACATGTGACAGGGCAAACAAAATCAGGACAATTTGAAATCTTGCCTCATTTATTTATATTCCATATAAGCTTTTAAAATTAGGTTTGCTTTGAGTTATAATGAAACCATTATAATCTTTCAGAGCCTATTATTAATTGACATCAGGAAGAGAACAGAATGTTCTTTTCTACACACAAAAAACCTTCACATAAATGTTTATAGCAGCTTTATTCATAATTGTCAAAAGGTGGAAGCAACCAAGATGCCTTTGAACAGGTGAACGGATAAATAAACTGTGCTACATCCAGACAATGAAATATTATTTAACGTTAAGTACAAATGAGCTATGGAGTCATGATTCACATGGAGGAACCCTAAAATGGATATTACTAAGCAAAAGAAGCCAATGCGAAAAGGCTACATCCTGTATGATTCCAAATATATGACAACCTGGGAAAGGAAAAACTATGAAGACAATAAAAAGATCAGTGGTTGTCGGGTTGGGGAAGGCAGGTGGAGACAAGCAATGAAAAGAGGGTTTTTAGGACAGAGAAAACATTCTGATAGTATAATGATAGATGCGGGTCATATATGCATTGGTTCAAACCCATAAAACGTACAACAGTAAGAATTACCTGTAATGTAAACCATGGAGTTTGTGTGATTATATGTAACTGTAAGTTTATCAGTTGTGACAAAGGCCCCACTCTGGGGGGGGGGCGATGGTAATGGGGGAGACCACGCATGAGTGGGGGCAGGGGGCATGTGGAAAACTCTGTACCTTCCCCTCAGTTCTTCAGTGAACCTAAACTGCTCTAAAAGTCTTAATAATAAACAAAACAAAAGCCAGAATGTCCTGTTAGTACGAGTTATTTGAGGAATATTATGAGTTGAGACACATGCCGTTCCTGCGAAGCCTGGAGGCATCATTAACCTATCGCTATTATTGAGGACTTTCAGCATTGTGTAGTTTCCTTCTCTTTAATATTTCTTTGGGATTTTAGTTTTTCTTTTGCTCTGCTTTGCAGTGCAAATTGAGACACTTTATTATCTGGGGAATATTAACTAGTTTGTAGGTTCACCAGTGCTGTGGTAGGATTTTATAATTTGGCAGCAAGAGATTATAAAATCTTGTGATGCTTTCTAAAGCAGCCTTACTCTCCTCTCTCCTTTTATTCCCCTCCATGGGGGCTCAACACCACGTGTCGGCTACTCTCTCCCCATTTGGGGGCTCCCATTCATCACCGATCACCCTCAGCTTAACTGGGATGCCCTTCGAAGGGAGTGAATGGTCCTGGTTCTTGCTAAACCTCAGCCATGTTGAATTCATCCCTGAGAAGGAAAGGGTTTTGTCTGTTCCTTCTTTACCCTCTTACTTGGCTATAAGAAAGGTTAATTTTAGAGACAACAGGTGAGTAAAAGGAAAAACAAGAAAAATTGCATCAGATTTCACCATTAAGAAGCCCATTACAGGACCACAATCTCTAATCAGCAACTTGGAAAATTAAAATTTGGAAAGCAGTTAAGCACATGAAAAATGAATTTAGAGGCAACACTTAACCTGACCTGAACCATGGGAAGTATTGAGGCAGTTCATTCAGTGATGGGTTTGCCTTGCAGCGTTGCCTTTAAGCTTCCTGAGGAAATCATGTGATACATGCCATATGTTTTAGATTAATGGTCTCAATTCTGAACTATTCAAATTTCAAAACCCAGCTTTCCCCAAAGACTTTAGATAAGGTATCCTGGGCCTGTGTTAACATTCTGGTGTGAATCAGTCGAGATTTGATACACACAAACACATACACAGACATAAACACAAATTACACAAATATGCAGTCACACACATATATACATACAGTATTATTTAATACAAAATAACATATATCATTAAATATATCAAACAAATAGAAAACACAGAGTGAGGCAAATACCCATGTACTCACACCTCAGAATTAACTAATGTAAACATTTTGTTTGCTTATAATGTTAATGTTTGTTTACCTGTTAAGATGCAGCTTTGTCCTCTGTGTACCTCTTTTTATAACCATTTCTAATCCTCAGCAGGAAAAAGAAATGCTAATATTATGTTGGTTTTAATCTGATTTCTCTAAGCGTATATTTGAAAAATATGGAAGTATACATGAGGATTCTAGCTAGGTTCTACTTCATTCTTTTATCAACAACACATGGAAAAGATATTATACCTACAAATAGTTAATGTAGCTTCTAAATATTTAAATATTTCAAGTTTATCTTCTTGGAAACAGTCTTCTTGGGTACTTTAAATTTAGTGGACTGAATTGTTTAAGGGTGACCTTAGTCATTGCCTGGCCATCAGTTCAGTGTGACTAAACTCTGAACATATTTATACAACATAATCCAGTCCAATCCAAATATTGGAAAGGAGAAAGGCATCGGGCTCTATGACCTTCTGTATTCCCTCGTAGCCGTGAAATTCTAATTCGCTCTGGTCCTTCTGACGTCTCATGTAGACATCACAACAGAGAACAAACTCCTTTGATTTCCTTAGGAAATAAGCACCCTAGTCAGGTAGGGCTTTCATGGTTCCTGCAGGAACAGGATTAGGTTTACTGTTCATTCTGTAGGAACAGCAAATTAACATCTGTTCAATATTCTCTCCATTTCTTGTACAGTTTTTACAGGAAGAATGTAAATCAAATAGTTAATAGTATTCTTTCCAATCTGTTTTAACTTAGCCTGTTTACCTGATGTGTTCAGCTTTTTACACAAACATATTCATTTAACTTACAATTTCTCCCCTAACTGCTGTTCTTAGTTTTAATATCTAAAGGTGGCACTTTATCTGAGTTACTGTCCATTGATTTCCAGTTGATCTGTTTTCCTTGAGTTTCCTATTAAAATATAACTGTGTCCTATTTTAGATTTTATTTTACAATGACCCTTCTGTGAAATTTTCTACAATGATTGATACCACGCTCACTCTTTATCAGTCAATGATATAAATCAATAACAATTTCCTGACATTATTTGAAGATCCAGTAAGATTTATAATACAGAAGAGAAAGCTGAACTGGCCTCTGTAAAGTTGCTATGTCCTTAGCCTTCTTAATCTAGGGATTCATTAAATCTGTTTTGCCAGGTCGTTTTTTGTTCTGCAGTATCTGCTGAAGACAGATTATCTCCTTATTTCATTATAGTGATGCAATATAGCATAATCATTAAGTGGCTCAGGTAACATATTTTTCTTACCAGATCCCTGACCTCCAATCAATTACTTCAACTCTCTTAAGCTTCTGTTTCCATTGCTTTAAAAGGAAGAGAAAAATAGCACTATCTTCACAGCATTAAAACAAGTGAACATGCCTGGTTTGTAGTCAGCTCTAAAGAAAAGTTAGCTCTTGCTCTTATTATTCATACCACTATCATTCAAAAGTTACTATATTCCCATTTTTCCTCTTAATATCTTTCTACTTTCTTCTTTGCCTCTTAGATTTATATTTATTGTCCTTGTTATTCTTTTTTAAAATAAGATACCAAAGAACCAAAATCTAAATATTTAGATTTAGTATTTTTCTGGAAAAGCTCCCTTCGTTTTGCAGGTGTAAAAAGTAATCACTTGATTACAAACAGCATTTACAAGTTGTGGTTCCTGAAAGCAAAAACAAGAAATGATTTTGTTCTTTCAGGGAGTAATATAATTAATTAAAACAAATTTCAACTGAGAAATAGTTTAAAAAGGGAAAGACATCTACATATAATTTGAAGTTTAAAGTTTTTAAGTGGCCTTAAAAATCTTACGAAATGAGGTTTTCAACCTTCTTTCATCCATGGTTGCAACATCTCTCTGAGCAACTTCCTTCTTGCTTACTGATTATTAATTGATACTATCTTTCCCAAAGGGAGTTGCCTAGGCTTACATATAAAAATATCCATTTGGTTAAAATAAGCAATAAGAAATAGGAATAGGCAAGATGATTTTGAAATCAGAGGAGAAGCTGCCTTAGATTATAATTTTTTATTTCATAGTCCTAAATTTAATTATTTAGAAGTTAACAAGAAAAGGTGTAGATGACTTAATACCATTTTTATTTGTTTTGGAAGTTGTTTTATGATTACATTTTAACATGACTATCTAAAAGAGTCTAGTGGTTCCCTTCAGGCAAAATGATATAACCATATTTTAAAGACCTACCCCATAGTTCCACTTCAACTCATCCTAGGGCCCACTCACTCCATTCAAAGAACAGGATCAGGTACCTCTGTAAGAGAACAGAGGTCTGCCCGACCATCCTGCATTTCCTCCAGCTTTTCTTTGAGTAGTGCAGGCCTTCAAATATGGTCATCAACAAATGCTTATCTAATGAGTCTGAAGAATTAAGCATCTACGTTTTAATTGTCTTCAACCAGAATGTATTATGATAACAAATAAAAAGAAAATTCTTTCAAAATTAAATCTTTCCAAAATAAATTATAATAACTTAATGGTGTTAAGCATAAAGTATTTCACAATTACAATGCCTGTATTTTGTTATTTAAAATCCTTTTTTAAAACCTGTTATTATTTTGTACCTCTTGCGTGAAGGCCAAATTTCTGTTGGCCAAGACTGTATAGAAACCAGTTCTAATCAGAATTATTAAAATTATTAAAATTATACACATGTTAATATAAAGTATCAAAAATTATAAATAAAACAATAGTTACTCCTGACCACTATCACCTCCTATCATAGTCTTTATCTTGAGGTAACTATAGACACTAGTTTATTTTTACTTCTAGATCCTTTCTATTTGTGTAATATGATGTATGTTCCAAATATATCTAGAAACCTAAGCCATTATATATTTTTAGCTTAATAGTATTGTTACCGGCAATATGGGCTCTTAGTTCCTGACTGTGCAGGAAAGATTACACAATATAAGTCCAGGTGATTTTGAGAGTATGTTTATTAAAGCTGGGGATAGTGAAACAAAGGAAGGGCTTACCCTAGAAGAAGAAATACTGTATCAATAGGGGTGAGCCTAGGCGGAGGTGCCTTGGTCTTTTGGAAATGTGAGGAAGAGGTGAGCCTAGGCATGGTTGCCTTGGCTGTTTAGAAAGAAAGTCAAAGAAGTAGAAGAAGTGAGCCAACTGGGCTGTGTGGACTTAGGAAACAAGTTACCAAGGCAAAATAAGGGCCCCTGGGGAAAGAAAGCAAAGACATGCACCTTAGGAAAGAAGAGGGGAAAGGCACAGGCATGGGAGAGAATGAAAGAGAAGAGAGAGAGAACAGGGTCCTTGGCTTTAAGGGTTTTTATCTGTTTTCTGAAGGCAGGAATTTTAGGGGAGTTCTCAGGGGAGGATATCAATAGAATATTCATCGGATTTCCAGGTGTGTTCTTTCAGGGTCGTGGTCTCTACTGATTGGCTGGCAGTAGGGTAGGGGGTCACTAGTCATTGCATCTGGTCCTGATGTCAACCGTGGCGTCAACCGTGGCACTGATTCATCTGGTTCTGCTGCTTTTCTGGGCCTGGAGCTGAAACACAACTGAGGCCTAGATGTTATCTCTAGTTTGACAAAAACTCTGTCTCTGTGGTCAATAGACAGGAGACCTTGTTCCTAAGATTATTTGATGCTGATCAGAACCTTATTGCTCTGAGTGCTTAGTGCTTTAAGCAGTGGTTCTGCAAGGGAGAAGGCCGCAGGTGAGTCGGGTGCTGGATGGGGCCAGTTTGAGTCAGCCATCTGACTCAGTTTTTCCATTCTCCTTGCCAAGGAATTTTTCTAACTTCTTACTATCTTGCCTCAGTATCATACTCTAACTTTTTTTCTGTAATTTAATCTCTTTCTCAGAAACACATATTGAAGGTCTTTCTTTATTATCACATAGAGATAGATATTATATTTAACTGGCATAATAATCCATGGTTTATATCACCAGTTATTTATTGACTCACGTTTGAGTTCTATTCATTTATTATCAAAACCAGCATTGAAATAGACATTCCTGCCCAGACCTTCATGTGTCTGCCTATGAGTGTCTCTCCAGTGTAAAGGCTGAAAAGTAGGCTTAATTTTTGTAGTCTGTGCTATTTTTCTTTAAATTGATGCCATTGACTTGCTCTTCAATTAGGCTGCACCAATTTCTGCAATCAGTCCTTTCCATTAATTACTCAATTAATTTTTTGTTCTCTTAAAAGCCCATTCTCCTATGTACAGGAGGAAAAAGTTTTCTTTAACCCTTAGACATCTTCAGATATGACCTGGTCTGAAAATTAAATTGACGAAGCAGAGTAACTGGGGAAAAGCATGCAAAATTGTTTAATGAAAGTTTTACGTGACACATGAGCCTTCATAAGGACATGAAGACCCAATAATGAAACAGTTAACCCTGAGTATTTTTATGTGAGTTTCCATGAATATAATAGGGCAAGGAGTATGAGGGAAGTATAGTAATCTAGGGGACATTCAACAAGGCCTGTTCATTCAGATTCTCCTCTGTGTCCTATTGCCTTCAGAGAGAAGGATACTCCTTTCTTTCTTTCAGGTATAGGGAGGGCACCTATTATGATCTGCCTCAAGGGAAGACCAAACTCATCCAGCACAGGACATTTCTCCAGTTCCTTCAGGTTGAAATATCCAGTACTCCAAGTTGTCATATTTGGGGGTAGAGTCTCGAACCCCAGAATCCTATAACACCCAGAGTTTTCCAAATATACCATACATATTCACGTGTCCCTGCTTTTGCTTGTAATGTTATTAGTTGCTCAATATAATAAAATATTAGGCAGCAATTATAACTGAGGCTTAACGTACTACTTCTGTACCAAATCGTTTTCAACTTCTGCCTCACATTCTTGGCACAGAAATAATGAAGCACTTTTCTTAGACTCTCCTAGTAAATCATACACATCTCTGGTATAGCACTTCTGGGGTAGTTTAGTTGTTAATGTATCATATGAAGTAAATGGTAAGATCTTTGAGATCAGAGACCCTCCCTGATAAGAGGGAGACACACCTATTAGGTGTGTCCTTGACTGATGGTCCCACTGTGTTTCCTTAAGACTCCAGACATAATTTCTTTCTTTCATTTTTTTTTATTAAGATGGTAGAATAACAACATAATAAAGTGAGTGATTAACAAGATGAAAAGAAATTATATCAGTCATTATTCAGAGTGTTAGAATAAATTAAACTTAAATAGATGCCTCTGAGTGCTTTAGCATATGAATATTACCAACCATTGTATAGGGTTACAGATTGTGTGCTTTACCTCACTAAGTAAATTATGTATATGTATACATAATACAATAAGTATGTAAATATTCTGATATGAAAATGAATAATTGTTTCCAGTGGACCCATTACAAAGGGATTCATATCTCAATTAAATTGAGTTGTAAACCACACAGTTGATTACCCCAAAGAGCTCATTTTAAATGCGTATGACTCTTAATGGCTCCAATGGGAAGACAACCCTTCAGTACTGATGAATGTTACAACTTTTAATTGAAACAAGGTTACCTAAAGTAACAAGGTTACATAACATGGTGCCAAAACAGTTATGACTATATAATTTGAATGTTCCGGTCAAAACAATTTTGTAAAATTAGATTGGGAGATGTGACAGATGCAAATGAGCTTCTCTCTACACAAAGACATTTACTTTTATGATGTATTTTTAATAATTTGTTTTTCTATAATTATAGTTAATTTTAGAAGCTACTGTTTTATCATCAAATGCTACCATTGCTCTAGATGACATCAGTATATCCCAGGGATGTGAAATTTCATATACGTCACTTCCAAGTACCAGCACAGTAAACAAAGGTAAGTTTCTTCTTCTGGTCATTGCAATTTTAAACTTTGAAATAATTCGTTCCTCTTGACATCAAAATAGAAAATACATTAGAGTCCTTCAATCATATAACTCACTAATACCTAATACTGGATGTGGTTAAATCAAATGTCCTTGAATTCAGTTGCCTCCCACATCTCCCTACCGGGGATGGAGCCCACAATCTGGGTGTGTGTCTGGATGGGAATTTGAACCCGCAACCTTTTGGTGCATGGATGATGCTCAACCAACTGAGCCACGTGCAAGAGCTATTTATTTTTATTTCTTAAATCTTTTTTTTTTTTTAATGTTTTTATTGACTTTAGAGAGAGAAGAAGGGAGAGGGAGAGAGAGATGGAAACATCCATGAGAGAGAAACATCAACATCAATCGGCTGCCTCCTGCAGGCACCCTGCTGGGGATCAAGCCTGCAACCTGGGCATGAGCCCTGACCTGGAATCCAACTGGTGACCTCTTGGTTACTGCGTCGATGCTCAACCACTGAGCCAAACCAACCAGGCTATTTTTTTAAATTAAATTCATTGGGGTGACATTGATTATATAATAGCATTATCTAAGTTTCAAGTGTATAATTCTATCATATATCATCTGTATATTGCACTGTGTGTTCACCCCCCCAAAGTCTAGTCTTTTTCCATCTCCACATATTTGATCCACTTTACTCTTTTTAAACTCCTCTGACCTTCCTTCCCCTCTGGTAACCACCATACTGTTGTCTGTGTCTGTAAGTTTTTTGTTTGTTTATTTGTTTTTATGTGTTCATTTGTTGCTTTCTGTTTTATATCCCACATATGAGTGAAATCATATGGTTCTTGTCCTCCATCTGACTCCAGATCCATCCATATCAGCACAAGTGGCAGTGTTTCATCCTTTGTCCTGGCTGAGTAGTATTCCATTGTCTATATGTACCACATCTTCTTTATCCCATCATTCACTGAATGACACTTAGGTTGTTTCCCTGTCTTGGCTATTGTGAAAAATGCTGCAATGAATATAGGGGTAGATCTATCTTTAAGACTAAATGTTTTCCAACTTTTTGGGTAGATACCCAGCAGTGGGATTGATGAGTCATATGGTAGTTCTATTATTAATTTTTTGAGGAACCTCCATTCTGTTTTTCATAGTGGCTGTACCAATTTACATTCCCACCAGCAGCACATGAGAGTTCCCTTTTCTCTACATCATTTCCAACAGTTGTTATTTCTTGTCTTATTGATAATAGCTACACTAATAGGTATGAGGGGTATCTCCTTGTGGTTTTGATATGCATTTGCTTTATAGCTAGTGAAGCTGAGCATCCTTTCATATCTCTGTTGGCCATGCGTATGTCTTCGGAAAAGTGTTTTCGATCTTCTGCCCATTTTTAATTGGACAGTTTGGAATTTTGTTGTTGTTGAGTGTATGAGTTCTTTATATATTTTGGATATTAGCCCCTTATTGAAGGTATTGTTTGCAAATATCTTGTCCTTTTCAGTTGGTTGCTTGTTTTATTGATGGCTTTTTTTGTTGTGCAGAAGTCTTTTAATGTTATATAGCATATATATTTTTAAAAAGGCAAAAATATGATATGTCACAGTCTAGACCTTAGTCTGTCTTCCAATAATATTCTAAATTTGTGGCTAAAGTTGTCACACACAGATATTTTAATTTTTAAAATTATGAAAGAATTTTAATTATTTTACATGTTTAAACCTTTGCGGTCGTTTGTCTACTCTCAGCCACCAAAGCTTTTTTACCGTTCCAGTCGTATGTCTGCTCTCAGCCACCACAGCAAGGAACCCTACGAATCTTAACTCTATTCATTCATGTATCAGTTCATAAATCTTGTTTATCCTTCATAATCTTGCGTGTTATGTATCACTGCTCTTTTAATGGAAATTAATTCCAACCAGTACGACACCCATGTCCAAATTTAATACGATCTCAAAGGGTTAAAGCATTTCTATAAAAATTAATTTCTATTTTAATCTTGTTTGGCACTTCAAATGAATATATAATGAAATTCATGTTTCAGAGTCACCTAGGATTTTAAAAAAATTATTGTGTTTGGAAAAGTGACTCAAGGCTAGGCAAAAAGTTAAATCTTGACCCTAAAATTCTCTGTTTAAATGCAAAACATATTTTACATAATAGATGGAGTTTGGCTAATTCTATTTTACATAATAGATGGAGTTTGGCTAATAAATACTTTATTGAGTGTTTAAATTAAGGAAAGATCATCATAAAAATGGATTTCAAATAGTCAATAGGCATTTTTGAAAGTCAAATAGGCATTTTTGAATGTCTAACCATTATTTAAGTCCTGAAAGTGCATTGAAACAGCATATATCCTGCCCGCAGTTGCTTTGTCATTCTAATACTGATTGATGTTTCCCTCTGGCCACTCCTACTCCTGGTTCTCAATTAATAAAGACAGTATGAAAAATGTTCCCTGAATACTGCCACACTTCATTTTTCTTTATCTGTATACATGAAAAATATTTGCATGTGGAAATCAGGCACATCATATATTCTGAAGTTATGTTTCCTCAAACAACATAGTAAGTGAGAAACTTGCATTCTTATAGGACATTAATATACTAAACAAGGATGACATAGGAGAAACAACTGAGACCTGAACTGAGACCTGGATTTGAGAACTTTTAGTTGAAAGATCTCTACTAAATACATCTTTCATTGGAGAGATTGTATAATTCTATGTATTAAGTTCATATTGTGTTAACATGTAATTACTCAGAATGTGTGTCCTGGGCTTATAATAAACCTTTCTAAGCTCTGTGTGGATTAGTAGAAAGGCATTAAAGTTGGCACTGAAGGAAATGAATTGGAGGCAAAAGTGTGGCTGAACTTTTAAAATTATCACTAAAGTTAACCTCACCAGAAGTCTCAAAGGATTTGATCTCACTTACAGAGAATTCTTTTTGTAAATGAACTCAAAACTCACTCATGTGTGCCTCAATCCAAATACCAGCTCAGTTGGTTAAAGCATAATTCTAATTAGACCAAAATTATATGAATTATTCCTAAAAGGCCAATGGTTTTACACAAAGAAAGAAAAACTTTCTTACTGTTTTTGCAATTTTTTTCAATAAATAATTATAGGAACTCCTGTATGGAATTTAGTATTACTACCAGAAGTTTAGGGACAGGACTGGAAGGGGAGTTAAAAAAGATGCCAAGTCCCACTGGTACTGGATTGTGTTATATTATATTTGTGGGGCAGAATGGCCAGAGATTTGCCTCGACCCTGTATTTTAATTAAAGCCTTTGAAAGCTTCAGTCAGCATTGCAAATGGCTACAACCCTTTGGAGCAATTCTTAGAATTAGCCTTATGTTTACATTGGAAGCACCAGACACATGATGGAAATAGCAATTGTACTTTGATTTGGCCTTTTATACAGCTTCTTTATCGTAAGCATATTTAAAAACTAGTGTTCACGAAACAATTATGTATTCTGTTTACCCGTTGAAGGAGAAGAGGTTGTTTTACCTTCTTCATCTCTTAATTTTAAAGGTGGATTTGTGCCATGTGAGGATGCAGGCTGTATTTCATCCAGCAAGGTCTGTGATTTTACATCTGACCGCCCAAACGGAGCAGATGAAGCCAATTGTGGTGAGTCGGCGCGTTAGTCACTTTTAGTGACTTTTCATCATTCCAGGAGTCACTTGGCTAAGATTCATGTGTACACGTTCACTCTCTGAATATAAAGTGCACACTAGTCAGGTGGGGGGTAGACGTTTAATGAGGACAGAACCGAGACCTCTCACAACTAAAATGACTTGCAGTTGAAAGCAGACCTGATTATCTTTAAAGCAATAGCAACGAATGAAGACCCCTTACTTTCAGTTTTGCTGTGTTGGAATATAAAATTTGAAATAAATGCAAGAAAGAATTCAAAAGATAAGAACAAGAGTCAATTATAAATATTCCTTTATTAGGCTCTTTTTGTGTGATAAGAATGCTTCCTCTTAGTCTAAACAGTTGCCACTCCAGTACTATGTAATGCAGAGGACTACATAATGTTTAAGTATGTTCTTTCAGACTATACTTAAGTATAGTCTTTCAGACTATAGTCCATCCATAAATAAATTGGTCTTAAAACTATAGCTCATGGCCAGTTCTATATATTTTTAAATCTTTGAGGATCTCTTTTAAGTTTCTCCTTTTTAAAGCCTTGTATCCATCCTTTCTGCATTGTACCGATACTTATCTAAAGTTATCCTACTATCCCTGGAAAATTAGGGGGGTGTTTGTGGATAAGCTTTTGCAAAAGTATTTATATAACTGCTATTGAAGATACTGAGGTCAGATAAGAGAGAAGGTTATAGGAATATCACATTTTATTGATCCCCATACCTGAAATGAAAATCAAGGTAGTTTTTAGTCAAGAAAATGGGGGGCATGGCCATATTCATGAGGCATGATGGAGCATAGAATTGGAGAGACATAGATAAGAATGATGAGAAAAGTTAAGGCCATCGATGTGTTTTGATCCATTGGCAAGGGAATCATGCTTTTATTGAGTGTTTACTCTGGACTAAGAGATTAATTTAAAAATAAAGTGTGATCATTTCCCTCAAGAAATTTAGTTTATTAAGAAAGACTTTAGCAGTGTTTAATAGTGTCTCTTTATAATTATAACTACAACAAAAGTGTAAACAAAGTGCTATCTTAACTCTAAGGAATTGGAGAATTGTATTCATGGAAGGTAAACGATTTCTCAGCAGGAATTTCTTAAAATGTTTTCTGGTTGTCTTGCAATGTCAGAAAAGTCATCTGTTGACAGGTCAGCCAGGGGTTAATAGTTCTAAGCCTGTCTCTGACATACATCAAGACTGTTACCAAATATACGTGGTATAGAAATTTTATCTATATAAACGTTTTTAATAATCAAAACAAATCTAAGAGGTACACACTATTACTATCCTTTTTACAGACTTTTTTTTTTTATCAGTTAATATCCATTCAAG